GATAGGAAAGCCGACCCACCATCTCTGCCGGCTCCGGATGGTAAATCGACAGCAAACAGTGAGTTTTTTCTTCCCGTTCGAATCGTAACACTCTAAACTCGATATGATGTGCAATTTCTGCTCATGTTATTTTAATAAAATAGGCCCACAAAATATATATATGCATACCTCAAAATTTATCATACAATCTACCATCCCATGTGATATTTATAATAGTTATATGTACAAAAACATGAGGTCAAAATTTAAAATTTAACAAAACAAAACAAAATTTCTAGAATATGAATAAAATGTACAGGTAGAGGAACCCTTTCATATATTCTACTCGTCTAGCAGCGGTTCTGTCTCTTCTTTCTCCTCTGAAAAATATCAAGGTTAAATTTAATTAATTTCATCAATTTAATAAATATTTCTGTTCTTCCAACCCATATAAAATTTTATGCAAAGCATATAACATCAGACAATGCAATAGGAATGTTTTCAATGCAAAGTTTATGTATTATTTTAACCATTTTCACATGTTTCTAATTGGATTTCTTAATTTCACTCGAATATCATTTACAACCTTGAAGTACAATCACGTACTCTCGAAAAAATTTATATACCTTGAATGTCAATCATAACCTCAAAATATAACCATACACACATGAAAGATCATATATACATTGAAATATTATTTCTAAGATTTCATCGTGCGATGTTGTTTATGTTGTCATCAAAGAGAGGTGAAATGGATCTCCCCATCGCATAGATAGCACACATACATAGAATCTCATAATAACCATAACAGTTATTTTTGCTAGATGACCCACACTCACAAACACCTATTCACATCTGGACTAGGGTTCAAACTCTATTCATGTGCAGGTTTACCATACCTGCTGAACTTCAGCCACACACACACAAACTCTCCTCCTTGATTCAGACTAAACGAGAAGGCATTTAGGGTCCATACCCTAATAACTCGCATCATGTCGTTTCCAATTTCTTATTTGCTTTCCTCTTATTCTATTTTTCTCTTAAATTTTATTTAAATTGATCATTTCACAACTATAATTATTCCTTTATATTTTTATTCATTTTTTTACGCTATTTTCTTTTCTTTTTCTCAATCTTCCACTTGTTAGTGATTTCTTTTAATTTTGATTTTATCTCTTATCATAGTTCAAGTATTCCTCAGTCTTGAGTTTTTGTGTGGTTTCATCGCCTCATAAATTCCAATAGCTAAGGTTCACTTGTCATAGGTCCAGGTTCTGTTCTTCATCAAAAATTGGATCTTTATTCGTTCTATTTTTAAAATACACACAAAATTCATTATATGAATACATAAATATCAAAAATCCTAATCTAATTTCAGAATCAGAAATAATTACAACTCCTTTGCGCAACAATCTTTCCGGATTCACTTAAACAAGTTAATTAAAACAATTTAAATACTAAACAGAATCTAAATTTAATCCAAATCACATGTTTCAATGACAATATGACGGGATGTCCGATTAATTGCGTAAAGGTTAGTATTTATGCTCCCTTATGGTTCCAATTTCCAAACCCAAAATATCAGTTCCGTACCGGAAGAAGGCTCTTCGACTTTTCAGGCGGTGAATCGGGTCCCCATACCCGAGGAAGACCTTTGGCTTCCCGAGTGGGTGGATTGGGTCCCTTTACTCAAGGAAGAGCCCTCAATTTTCAAGTGGGTGGGTGACTTGGCCGAGCACGCACGACCCGCTCGATCTCAATTGCCCGCCTATGTTGCCCTAACAACCAAACAATCACAAAAAGAAGTTTACTTGCACCAGTGTGGTGCGATTCGGCCTCGGGTTTAATTCTAAATGGTCCTGTCAGCTACCCCATGACTTTTGCTTGCTTGAGATTTAGATGACATACTTCACGCCTACAAACTGGTCAATGTAAAATAGAAAAAGCGATTGAAGGAAAGTAAGGTGAAAAGATGAAAAAGGACGAATTTTTACCTTACTTGCTTCGGTTTCCGACGTCACCCGGCTTCTCGGCCCGATTTCCCTTCCTTTTTATTCCTTTTGAATTCGGCTTCCACAACTCTCCCACCTTTGCTACTCTCTCTTCTTTTCTTCCCTTGTGGTGACCATTCTCAGCTCTTTCCTCCACTCTCCCGCTTGGCTACGCTTTTCCTTCTCTCCCTTCCTCCACTCTGACCTCCTTTTTCCTTTCATCTCTTTTTCTCTTCCATTCAGCTCTCACTCCATTTTGCTTCCTCTCGGCTCCCCTACTCGATAACTCTCTCATTCTCTCTCACACCCGATCGACTCACCTCTTTTTTCCTCTCTCTCTTTTTCGGCTTCTCTCTCCAATGAAGAATAAACCCTAATCCTTTCCTTTATATATTCGTCTCCCTAGCCGTTGGATCTCACAAAGCTCGATCTCGTCTATTTATCCTCAATAAAACATCAGCCATTGATCTCCTCAGATAGTTTGATCAGGACCATCCATTTTTTGATTTCTTTTGCCCCCCTTTCACTTTTATTTATTTATACTTTTACCCCTATTTTTCTTACATGTTTTCATTTAGGTTATTGAAATTAAATAAAAATCTCAAATTTCTAAAATTCACTTTATTTAAACCCTAATATCCATTTATTTATTTATTTACATTTTTTTTATTTTATTTAGGGGCTGGATGTTACACGTTTGGTGCCCATTACTAGATGGGGCATTGGGATAGCCTCTTGATTAACATAATGGATATTAGGTCAACGTATAGTAAGAATCCCTATGGATTTCCAGCGATACTGTTAAGTAAGTAAAAATGTAAAGTTTGATTACTGTTGGTCTCTTCGAATGTATAATGTATTGTTATCTTGGTTCTTTCTTTCATAAGTGGTATTTAGAAATTAAAGGTAAGTACGAGATTAACGTTTTCAAGTTAAATGAATTTACTTAAAAAAAATATCTTCATTGGTTGTTTTATAATTTCTACCAACTTTTGATTTTTTGTATCGGTAGTAAGTGTTGATATTCTTACTAAGCAAATGTACCATATCCTCTTATTATTAATTATTTCAGATCGGGACAACCAATATTCGGATCCTGAACAGTTAGAGAGTTAGCAAATAAAGACCACATAGTTTCTAGTTAATATATATTTTTTCTTTTTATGTTAATTTTCTTAAATAAATATTCTCGTAATTTTATTAGGTATTTATATTAAACTGCGCAATGAATATAAATCCTAATCTTTAAATTAGTTATGCAAACTTATTAATTTTAATATTATAATTTAGCTTAAATATTTGGGAAAGTTACACGAATTGCGTAGAATAATTTAAGCAATCTAATACCTATTCAAAATCTCTAAATATAAATATAAATAATATTTTAAAATTTTAATGTAAGTAATAATTTAATTAAAATAATATATTTTCTAAACTTTTCAATACCAGAGAGTTAGCATATCTACTATGCTTCTAAATGTGAAGTAGAAATGGATACTAATTTCAATACTCTTTCCCATACATATCTATGTATATATATATATAACAATCACAAACGTCATAGTTAGATATAAATAGGTATTATGTACATTAAAAGATTTTCAGTACTAAATCTCAACAAGAAGTTGCAGAAAACGTAAACAGACAATGCAGAAATGATCAATAAACAGAGAAAGAAGACAACAATTTTGAGAGGATGAAACCCTAAATCAACGGCCTAAAAAGTTTAATCTCTTCTTTTCTCGAAAATGAAGAAAAAGAAAATTTATATGAGGGTGCAAAATGTGTATCAACCCCTCACCCGCATACAATCAAACCTGTGTTCTAACCCTAAACGCACATTGTTTGCATTAATACATAAATATATACACACGCAACATATATATTTTCACACGCATGAGCGGACTCTCGAGCACGCACCTTCACTCAACCTGTCTCTCCAGCACTCCACTGGTTTCACTCTTCAACATACATTCTCTATTTACTTTTATACTTACAAGCTTTAATTTGTACTGTTTATTTTTTTATTAAAAATATTATTGGTCAATAATTGTTAACCTGTATCATGCATTTTTCTTAATTGGTATAATAAAGTAAGAATTGTATTAAAAGAAAAAAAAGAGTTAGAATAAATTATTAAATTAGTATTCAAAGAGAGAGACAAAAAAAGATACAACCATAAGTTGGCTTATTAAATATACCCAACTACTCTGCGCTAGGGAGATCACTTCAATTAATAACTTTGTCTAATTGTACAATATAATTTATATTAATTTATACAAGTGAATATCATACAGTCTGGTTCATACTAATGGATTTGAAGGCTGTGACATTTCGGTTTCTGGAATGTTTTTAGGGTTTTTGAGAGCTTTGATTTCTCCATAGAAGTAGGAGACAAAGCCCCAGATGGAGAGTGCAAGAGCAACACCTTTTTCTGCCTGAAATTTTTCTCGCAAGAAAATAACACCAAATATTTGAGTTACTGGGATTAGAAGCGTCACCATTATTCCAGATAGCAAAGACGATGCGCAGAAAACAATCCCTATTACTCCTAAGAATGAAAATTGCCACCCGATTGCGCTCCAAATCACCACCATGTAGTACTTCGTTTCTCCCAGGGTGTAGTTTCTTGCTTCTCTTGGAATTGCCTGAAATTCATATTATCATTTCATATACATACAAAAACAGTATATATATATATATATATTATGCATTTATAATTTTAAAAGTTGCGGTAGTGTTTATATATGCTAGTCTGCTTAAAGATTTTTTTTTCGCAACTAAAATAAAAAATTAAATCTTTCTATTACTCTATTTTTCTTGTTCCTAGTATTTCCAATAAAATAATACTTAAGAGTTCATAACTCTGAAAATTTTCCACCATATAATTGGTATTTATATGGTGTTTATGTTTCAGCTAATCAAGAAATGCTTTATGTTCTATGTATACATAGAAAGAGAGAGACCTGGAAGTCATTGTTAACCAGCATTCCTATGGTGCTAAACCCAGTAGCAATTAGACATATCACCATCTGTATCTGCATCACGAGTGCGTACGTTATTTCCTGTCCACCCTTGGCGTACGTTAGCTCCAGGAAAGGCATGATAAACCCATACAACGCCGCTGCTCCGATCATCATGGCAAATCCGAGTATGTACTGCCCAGTTGATTCATTCTCCGGCTTGTCACTTTTGCCGTGCATAGCCAAAACGGCCGCTCCAATCGTCAACAACACTAAGGCGTTGACTGAATAAGAAGTGAATTTCTGTCTCACTAACAGGAAAGCGAACCCCGCCGTGAAAGCCAACTGGGTGGCAGAGATCAGGGCCGAAGTCGACACTGGAATGCGCTCCATGCCGTTTGCCATTAGAAAATCGTCGAGGCCCGTCAGCACTCCTATGATCACAGAGGCAAAGAACAGCCGATAGTTCATGAAGAACTTGTTCACATGACCATCTGGGGATGAGCTGTTCTGGCTCGCGCGGCGGTGGCTGAAGTAGGAGATGGCGATAGGGAGGAGAAGGATGGGAAAGCCCGCTGTTTGGAGCCAGCTTGAGAACCAGACTCGGTTTCCGCCACGGACGAAGTAAAGACGTGTTAGGAGAGGAGAACCCCCACCACCAATGAAAAGAAGGATGATATTTAGGACTAACTGAGCTCTTTTCACGCTCGCACCCATTTCTATATCAACGCAAACTAGTAGTAGTACATATGTATATATAATATTTATTAGATGTATGTATGGATCTGTGTGTGATCTGTAATTTCTGGTGGATGTAGAGAAGAGTACATATATTACACAAATGATGTGACAGAAGAAGCGAGATGCGTTATATAGGGGTGTGTATATTTGATGAGAAACAGAAATAGGTAGCTCGGTTTTTAATGTGAATAATGAATACGGTGTGTATGTCTGACAAGAAACAGATTGGTAGCTCGTTTTTTAAAGTGAATATGTATACGTATGCATGTAATATAAGTAAATATAAAATATACGTGGAAGGTAAGATTGAAAATAGGGAGGCCAATGGGATTTCATATGGCGAAGAGGAAAGAATATATAACGGAATTAATTGAGTCCAGGTATGAGCATCCGATCCAAACAATCAATAAATAAGAAGATCAGAATTAGCAAGAGCCAACCTGCATGTAGGGAACAGGGCAATTGGATATCCTTTTCATTGTATCATATCTTATATTATATTATAAAAAGGATCACCAATAGGCGCATTGTTAACATCATGTGGGTGAGAATCGATAATCACCTCATGTGTGTGTGTGTTTGTGTGTCTGTATAAATAAGTGGTGTAAAAATGTCATACGTGTATTATATTTGGTGAGACACGATAGTACAATAATTGATAATCATCTATACCTAAGTATAATACTGTTCGTTCAATTAATTTACATGTGCTGAAATGAGGTGGAAAAATCAGATCCTTCTATGACCCAAGCAACCCAATATACAGTGTATACATATATACATATATATATATATACGTACATGCATGTATATACAGACTGGAAATTGATCAGATCGATGAAAGTTTCCAGATGTCTCAGAAAAGCGTTGCAGGGTGGTGAGGTGATATTGGACACGAGTTATTATCGACAATAATTATTATGGCGAAAAAAACAATTCTGTAGGTTTGAGTAGGTACGGTGGTAGAATTGATTTGTTAGGAAATAAGAATATGAATCCCAATTTTTTTTTTCCTCTTAAGAAATTACGAAATACAAATTAAATAGAGAGAAAAAGAACAAGTTATTTCACCTACTCCTACCAAAAGTCTTTCCGAAATATTTTTAAAAAGCACATTTATTAATATGTTTGTAATTTAAAAATAAATTTAGCCAGCAAAGTTTTAAATTTATTACAATTTATTTCATAATAAAATTTTTAATTGCAACTTGATGCCTAATATTTTTTTTTTTATCTATATCAAAAATTTATTTTTAAAAAGAAAATATTTAAATAATTAAACAATATTTACAAACTTTTATCCATTTTAAATTTCAAAATAATTAAAAAGATGAAGGACTTTTTTAAATATGAGTTGTTTATTTTGTGTGAACTGAGTTATTTTTTAAAATCTCCAAATATAATTTAATACTTTAAATTGTTTTTTTTTAGAAAATAAATTAAAATTAAAATTGTTAAACAAACATAAAGTATCAAGAACTAAATTATAATAATAAAAATATTAAAAATTAATTTAATAATTTCGTCCGATATAAATTATGATATCTTTTAATATATTTATATATATATATATACATACATGCTCAATTTTTGACTAAAGTACACTCATTATATTGATTTGAATTTGGAGAGCACAGTATAAACCTCGATAAGAGATTATTATATTATAATATGATTTTAAAGTGGTGGTGATTTGTACGAGTGGTTGGTGAATAATTTGTCAGGAGTCATGATCAACTGATTGACAGGTGGTCAGGCATTTAATAGAGGCCTGACCAGATAAACCAAGTTGGACTTGATCGTTGATCAAAATGGACCAGTCCATTATTCTGGCTGCCCTCATTTACTACCTTCAATTTCCTCCGGACACGTACATCACAGGGTGGCTAGAATTTCATTATTATATTTTTATAATTGTATATTTATTGTGTAATTATAGAATATCATTAAATATCAAACAATTAAAATCTATAAACGGTCAGTGGGGATAGAGTTTGGCTAACCAAACTTGAAGGTTCAGGCAGTCGGGCGGAGGTTGGTTAACGGAGTTGGAGGAGAAAGAGGCGGAGGTGATGGCGGAGGAGAGTAGTAAGGATACGCTGTCGTTTTGTGATGAGCATAACAAGTGTCTAAGCACTCAAATGATGTCTTAATAGTATAATTATGCAAATCCAGCCGATGGGTATTTGTACCTTTTCTTGGGTTGAAAAAGTCGGACTCAGATTAAAAGTTAATTAACAACAGATAATTATGTAATTATGAGGAGAGTGTGTGTAATACCCAGCTGGTGCCCAGCTGGGTGCAAAAGAAAAGAAAAAATATATATAATTAATTATATATTTTTTTAATTAATTATAAATTAAAAAAATAGAAAATAAAAAATAGGGAGGATAGCCTAGAGGCTCACGCCGCCTGGGAGAAGAAAAAAAGGAAAACAACAAAAAAATAAAACATGTGGAATTTATATATATATATATATAATTAAACAAAAGAAAAAAAAATAAATAAATAAAGAAAGGAAGAAGCAACAATGTACTTTGGGAGCAGAAGAAGAAAACATGTGCCCATAGATAATATATATATATGTATATATATAATTAAGTAACAGAAAGAAAGAAAGAAGAAAAAACGGATAGAGAAGACAGAGGGCTGAGCGGCTTAAAGAAAGAGGGAGGAAGTGAGAGAGGAAACTCACAGCGGAGAGAGGGACGACGACGGAGATGTAGTGGCTGAAGTTCAGCAGATATAATAAACCTATACGTGGATAATGTTTGAAATCTAATTCGTGTGGTCAATGTGAAATTGTGTGTTCTATTATGTGATGGGGGATCATTTTTGTCTTTATTCGATAACGATATAAATATTATCGTGCGATAAAATTTTAAATATAATATCTTGAGTATATTGCGATATTTTGAGAATAGATGTGATATACAAATGAATATGTCATATTCGAGAAAAAAAATATTAGAAAGAAGAATATGAATAATAAGAAAAGAATGATTTGAATTAAGTATAAGATTTCAGAAATAATAAATAGGAATACGATTAGAACATAATGAAAAAAAGTTAAGATAAGTTTTCGTTAATATTTATTGTGTATTTTGATTGTGATGTTTTATTTGATATTTTCTTAATGATAAATATTATTATATTTTATATATTATGTGAATGTATGTACGTAATTAAAATTATTTAATTTTTTTTATTGACCTTGTGAAACTCATCCTAATTCACCAGGTCAGAGGAAGTCTAAGATCAATATAAAATGGAGAAGAAAACCTTATTTGTTTCTATTTTATATTTGAAAATTAATTTAAATGCCTTAATTTATAAACAAATAATTATCCAGTCACAAAAAATGTGTATGAAAGTATAATTCCCCTGCATATTTAATATTTATCTGTTCTACTAATTGAAAATATTGTACTAACGTCCATATATACCGATATTGAGGTTTGGGCTGTTACAGGTGGTATCAAAGCATATGTTTCTGGGAATCAGCCCTTGTGACATGAGTCATAGGAACTTTAGGAGGTTTAAGACCTATAGAACTCAGAAGAATGACCTTTAAGAGATGCTTTGGACCTTCTCTGAAATATTAGTCACTATGGAAAATAAGAGAACGGTATTCAACAAACCTAACGATAGGAATCGTATAATTTACTTTATAACAAACTTAAGACTATACAAACTAAAGTTTTAACCTGAAGTTAACAGACGATGATACTTAACTAATCACTACCGTTGAACTCCACAAGTGTTGAAAAAAATCATCAGAGCCTTAACCTTTTTATTGACCTATTGACCCCGTAGAGTTAAATGACAGCGACTAAACTCTTTTCTATTTGGAACCAATGCCTCAATTGGGAGAAAACTTCCCATCTAAGTGGAAGTCCCCAAAATGGCGCCAAAAATCCCTCAGATGGGAGGTTCCCGAACGACAAGAATCCCTTAGAATAAAGAAAATTCCCTAATATGAGAAATTTTTCCACATAGCAGGAAGATTTCTTAGTTAAAAAAATAAAAAATAAAGATAAAAAATAGTCCTAGCAGGGAGATTTCTTGAACAAGAGCAAAATTTTATAAATAAGAGAATCCTTTAAGTAGAAAGAAAATCATTCGAGTGAGAATTTTTTCCAGTAAGGAGAAATTTTCAAAATGAGAGAAACCCTAAATAGATACACTCTATATAACAAACCCTAGGCTGATAGGAACCAAATAACGATTTAATTTTTCTAAAAATTCTCATTACATCCCTTGGGGAAAACAAATACCCTCACTATTCTAAAATTCTTTTCTAACATCGTTTAGAGACTTTGATAGTAGTGCCAAATCTTAGGGAAACAAATAATCATATCTTTAAAAACAATAAAATGCCATCCTAAAAACTAAAATCTAACAATGCCTAACTAGAATCTTCATTTTTATGAGTTCTAGTACTCTTCTAAAAATTATGTGGGTGAGGTGGTATAGCCATAGTAGTTATCCTCACATCGAACTATTTGGAAAATTTTCAATGCGTTTCTCATAAAAGTAGTGCAGCAGAAGCGTGATGAATCATAATAACCAAACCTAGGTACTTTTTCTCTTTAAACCAAAAAGAGTAAATTAATGGGGTGACAAAATGGTGACTCGTAACTTAAGACTGTACAAAGAAAAGTCACAGAATTCTTGGAAACTTATAGTGTGTTCGCGATAATTAGAACTAAACGTAATTGTTTGCAGTAAATCTAATGATTAAATCTGTTACTTAAAGAATTCCTAATCACCTTCAAAAATAATCACCAAATTCGTAACTCTCTAATCTCATTTCAACAAATCATACTTTAATTCTTAGAAGTTAGAAAACCAATGAATTAAATTAGACACATGAAATTTAATGATTGATATGGCTTTAGATGAAATAATATTTTTCTATCTATACTAACTGTTTTTAAGAAAATCTGAATAAAGCATTGTCCCATTTAAACTCACAAATAGAGAAACATGCCTTAAAAACTAATCCAACAAAATGAAATTGAAAAAAAAAAAGAAATATGAGTACAATTTCATTAAAGATGTTTCCACCAAATGGAAACGTTATAACATCACCACTTCATTAGAACCTAAGTTCTTAAATAACCGCTCTTATGAAATTAAATTTCGAAGAAAAAGAAAACCAATTCTCTAAAGATGTATGCTGATAACAGAATCACTACCACAATAAATTTTAAAAAATAAATTAACTCCTTTACACTAAGAAAAATATAAAAATAATTAGGCATCAAAGACGTTGTCACGCCCTGGTACTCGATATAGGCGCACATCTTGCTCTTGTCA